TCAGAGTGCAGTACTGTATATATTTATAATGAGGTAAAGCATAATATTGAGCATTTTGTCATATACTATTATATTTCATTTGATGTATGTTTGTTTATGCTTGTCATTATTTGCTTTTCAGATTTACATGTATTTATATTTATGTTTATAATTTTAGGGCTCGATCATCATCAATCATTGATCCATCAGAATATAATAAATTTATGAACCCTGACAGCGTCTTATTCTTATTGGACCTGTAACATATGTATCTGATGTTTTAAAAATAATAGAATGATAAAACGTACAGATGACATCTCTGCTACATCTGGTGCTGATCCGGTGGTAGGCAGGCTCTCAGTCCGGTTTTTACTCATATAACCTGAATCCTCATCATCTGAAATTAACCAAGTCTGTTTTAGCAATTCAAGAAATGCACCTCTTCATGCTTAGGAATCTTGACTAATGAACAGAAAACTTAATTTGTCTTTGCACAAGCTCCATTCCTCTGGAAAATACATTCTCAAATTGACTATTTCAAGTTATGAACCATTTGCAGTACTCACCCTTAAATTAATTATTACAGGATTATAGATATTCTATTATGATAAAATAAGTTCTTATACAGAAGATAAATATTTGCTACCATCAAAAAAACAACAAAGATTTACTACTTTACCTGGGGGATTCTGATCACTCATTTTTCTTGAGTTATTAGCATTCCCTAAAAAGATTAAAATAAAAAAGGACTGAAATTATTGTTTTGAAATTTATGTATATCGTCAATGCATACAACGATTAATCCTTTGTTTACCCCTTTATTCCTTGGATATGACTCATTGGATATTTTTTCGATATCCCATAGTTAAGTGCAGTTGTGACGTAACAATGGTTTTTGCGTTAAATTAGCGTGATGAAGTAAAATAATAGTGTAGTCCTACATAAAAACTCTTTAAAACATTGGTTGCTCTTATGAAAGATGGAATAAAAAGAATATCCCATGATTTGTGGTTGGATACAATTTTTATCCAACGAGTTGTTTGTTTTTCTTCCCAAGCCCTGGCGAGACTTTTATCCAGGAGCTGGATAAAAGTCATATCCAACTACAAATCATGGAAGATCCTTGGGAACATAGGAAATAAATTTGTTATCCAGGTCCAATCAAGGGTCTAACGGGATTTACCCCAGGTTGTATTCCATACTCCCTTCGTCCTTCGACCACAGGGTGTATGGAATTAAACCTGGCGTAAATTTATCCCCATACACCCTTGATTGAAACTGGATAACTAACAATATCATTTTACTATGTGACAGAATATCACTTTTATAAATTAACTACAGTCTTTTTGAAGGGAAGGAAAAACTGGAGTTTTGCCACACTTCTGATATATTCTCTCACACTGACAGGATAATCATTTTTATTATCCTTTCACACTGTATGCTAGCACATTTCATGAAATAAGCCTACATGACAAGTAGGTTACCACTCAGGAAAGACTGTCTGGACAAATCGTCCATGTGTATTTATTAATTTAGAACAGAGAGAACTTAACTACTGGCTGAGACACCTACTGTTAGGTTTGATTTCCTCTGGTATGCTGTAGAGGCAGAGCTGTGGCTGGCAATCCCTTTTTGTCACAGGAGATCTATAACAAAAATAGGAAGAAATAATAAACGTTTGTATCATACATCATCTTCAAAATATTTTAAATAATGTATTGAAGCTATGATCCATGCACGTACAGTCTAATAGACAAATTAAAGATTTCTAAATTGAAAAAAAAAACTCAGCTGTATTTGATATGCCTATACTGATTGTTATGCTCATAAGCACTACCTGTAATAACTGGTAATTAAAATCTACATCAATCTGCAGACTTTTTTAACACTATACAGGTAAAAATCCACAGCCAAAAAAAGAGAGCATAAATTGTCTATCTCAGATAAGTCTGCCCTGCATGTAAAATATTCAGAAGTGAGATATAGAGACTAAAATAAAAAAAAAAATAAAGCAACATATGTGAAGGAATAGATCCCTGGATGGGGGCCATACATAATTGATGTGAAGGCCAGGAGACTGAGGTGTTAATGTTACAACTCATCCAGGACCCGATTGATTGACAACAACAATGGGCTGTAGTACCTGTTATTAATCAGGCTGATTAATTATTGACATGGCAAGGGATTAGTCTTTTCATGGATGCACAATGCCAGTGTGAAATATGAAATGTAATTAAATCTACAGATATATTAAACAACTGAGAACACTGCCTTTCTACATCACAGTACTGGGTAAACAGAGCTAGAGTCTCTTAATACAGTGTTTAAAATACAATTTGCAAATTTCATAAACAGTAAGCAATAAAACTTGCTTTCAAATGAATAAACTGACTAATAAAAAGTATCAAATTATATCCTTTTCTTATCTGAGACTAGTGCAATTTCCAGTGCAACTGACTACCAGGGGGTACCCTGTTTACATGTACACTGTACACCCAATGTTGTTCAGGTACATTTACATGTATATTGAAAAAGTCTGTAACCTAACCTTATGAAGCCCTGGCATGATCCATCCATAATTTAGGATCAAATTTTTAGTTCCACTAAAGCATGAGATAATGGACAGATAATCCAACCGTCCCACTATTCCTTAATTTCATCGGGACTGCAAACTTAAATGTTGCCAAAGGAATCTCTTGATTAATACCCAAGTCATTAATTCTTTAATAGTTTAACATAAACATGAAAATCTATTATGCAGGGATTTATTAGGTTATTTTAAATATGTAAAGCTCTGGGTATTTACAATGCTGACTTCATTTTGATCAGGTTCCTCAATATATGAGTATTAGCACTGAAATTTTAAAAGCCATACTATGTGTCAATACATGTAGTAAAATTCCATAAAACATTTCCGATACACAATCTGTGAACTCTTGATATTCTATATGTACTATTGAAAAAAAAGAATACCGTGGAATATCAATATAATTTTGAAGTCTTAAAATACTGTATATCAGAAGAAACAACTCCGGAAATAACATATGGGATACCAGGTATATTTTTGTTTTATTTTGCTTTCTTTAATGAATGGCATCAATGGAGATTTTTAGTGAAAAAAGTTTTCAAAAGATGTTTTTTTTTATTTATCTTTCAAAATATATGTAAACTTTACACTTGTATACATATTTTCTTTATAACCAGAATATATTATAAATCCAAAAACAAGAGAAAGTTAATTGGTTTAAAGATGCTTAACTGAACCTTTGGTATGCTTTTGACCTTTCATTGAATGCTTAAGTTGATTAACAATACTGACACAGGTGTTATTTATTTCACTTAAGGATTTCAAATTCATAACCTTAACACCTTCCCCCATTATATTGAATATTTTATATTAAAGTTACAAAATGACTAAATTTCATTTCTGACGGAGACATGGAGGTCAATTTGATCAAACCTGCAGTACATGCTTCAAGTTAAGGAAATTGTAACAAGGGCTTAGGATAGAAAATTTGGATAAGTAATTCATAGCGAGCGCAGCCAGCTCAATAGACTTACATGTAAGAACAGTGGAAATTCAGAATGAAATTTGTACATACATGTACGTCAAGCAAATTTTTGTGTGAAACTTCCCAGAATTCCTTTGCTACCAGGATTTCATGCGATAATGGCGAATAAATAAATAGAATGAAACATAGATGGCTTTCAGTTTGTAGAAATCTTAAATTAGAAACAAGAAAAATACTCTACAATGTCTAACATAAACCAGAAGTCTCTGTCGAGACTGAAGCTCTACTGGTTTGAACTTATAGCAAAGGAAGAGAAAAGTACTTAAGCAGCTGGGATTTGAAACTAAATAGAAAAATGATCGTTGATAAAGTCTCTTTAGGTTCTTAGTGTAGTCTACTTGTGTGCCAAGTTATATTGAAATCAGACCAAAACTGTAGGAGGAGTAGCATTTTGAAACAATTTTACAGACATTTCTATTTTTAGTAACCATGGCAACACCGTTCATCAAAATTAAAATTCGATATATAGAATTATGTATCTTAGTGTAGTCTACTTGTGTGCCAAGTTATATCGAAATCGGACCAAAACTGTAGGAGGAGTAGCATTTTGAAACAATTTTACAGATATTTCTATTTTTAGTAACCAAGGCAACACCGTTCATCGAAATCAAAAACCGATACACAGAATTATGTATCTTAATGTAGTCTACTTGCGTGCCAAGTTATACTGAAATCAGACCAAAACTGTAGGAGGAGTAGCATTTTGAAAGAATTTCACAAAAATTTCTATTTTTAGTAACCACTGCAACACCGTTCATCGAAATCAAAAACCGATACACAGAATTATGTATCTTAGTGTAGTCTACTTGTGTTCCAAGTTATACTGAAATCAGACCAAAACTGTAGGAGGAGTAGCATTTTGAAAGAATTTCACAGAAATTTCTATTTTTAGTAACCACGGCAACACCGTTCATCGAAATCAAAAACCGTTACACAGAATTATGTATCTTAGTGTAGTCTACTTGTGTGCCAAGTTATACTGAAATCAGACCAAAACTGTAGGAGGAGTAGCATTTTGAAAGAATTTCACAGAAATTTCTATTTTTAGTAACCACGGCAATACCGTTCATCGAAATCAAAAACCGATACACAGAATTATGTATCTTTGTGTAGACTACTTGTGTGCCAAGTTATATTGAAATTAGACCAAAACTGTAGGAGGAGTAGCATTTTGAAAAATTGTTTACAGACAGACGGACAGACAGACGGACAGACGGACGGACGCCGGACGCATTACTATCGCATAAGCTCTTCTGGTCTCTGACCAGTAGAGCTAAAAATTGCACTAGGTCTTATGCTTCAACCAGATGATCAGCTGTCTCTGCATGTAAGCTCCAAAGAGCTCCATTATGTTGTGTGACGTCACAGCTAGTCTAGATGTCTCCTGCGACTTAATGTTTGAAGTGGCTGATCAATGTTTTAGTAATAAGTGTGCATAACTGCCCTGGCCCCAAAGGTCACATTGTTTAACATCTTAAATGTAACTTGAAAAATATAACTTCATTATTATACATTTTAAAGCAATATGAGCTGTATCTTCGAAAATTTTATTTTGCTGGTAAAATGTGCTATTATGATTAATTATTATGATTAATTTGTATGTAATTTAAACCCTTATGACCAATAAGCCCAAAATAAAGTTTAAAAATATTTCAGAAGAAATAATTCTGTACAACCGAACATACAGTTTTATATAAGAAATCATTATTGTACAGGACGACAATAATTCAATTTTGCTTCAATCAAAGCTAATAAAAAATTTTCCATTGTGAATATGAACAATAGAAGTTTATAAATGATTTATTTTTCTGTCATTAAATTAGTTAATCACAAATTTGCAATAAAAATTTCAAATGTCAAACATGCAGCTCATATTGCTTTAAAAGTATGTGAAACAAAAATCACTGTGCTGTAAAAGTATATGTTTTACTATAACATGTTGATATTGTATTGGAGTCCATTTCAAAATCTCTTTTCATTTACTTTATTTAACTGAAAGTCAATTCTTTATTCGCTCAAAACCAGATCACTGGTACAAGAGGTACATATATACATATATACAAGCAAAAAATTATTACAGTCAAGGGTCAAGAGATAGACAAGTACATTGAATATAAAGAAACTCGAAAAGAGTGAGAAAAAAAAATGACTGTAGTCATCTATATATAAGACACACGGAGGAATCAAGAAGGACAGACGTACAGTTTTAAAAATTTTCTTTATAAATAGTGATAATGATTTTTGTATCTCTACATTATTACTACTCATTAGTTCATTGAATTTGAAAGTGTTAGGATTATTACAATATCTGTTTGGGAAAAATATTTTTCTGTCTTTTGAAAAGTACTTACATTCCATAATATAATGATATTCATCACCAACAGTTTTAAAATCACAAATGGTACATATTCTTAAATTTCTGTCAATATTATGCCATCTACCCTTTTCAATTGGCAAATGGTGATTACAAGTTCGGAGTTTTGTAAGTGTAACTCTTAAATCTTTTGGTAAATTCATCAGATAATTTTCTAAACCAAAATCTGTTTTAAAAATTCTATAATTAATACACTTGGATGAACTATAAACAATGCTTCTCCATTCTTGTTCGAATTGACATTTTAGGGTATCTTTAATGATTGACTTAAGCCAATTAAAACTAATAAATGATTGACTTGTCCATACATAGGACAATCCACAAGAATTAAGTATACTGGTGTCTCATTATATCGCGGTACTTAAAGACTTTTGCATAAAAAGTGTAATTCCAATTTTTTACTTAAACTTTCATCAAATGATATTCATAATCCAAACTATGGCCTATCTTTTTAGTATCAAATTATTTCCCAAGCTTGCATCCTTTAATTTGTAGTCTATTTTTAAAACAGGAAGTCTTATTTACCTCCTAAATTGGAGAGTCTCATAGTATCGCGGTATGGGGAAACATGCCACCTTGTTGTTGACATGGACTTCAATTCTTATTTTCAATTTTACGATGTAATTCTACATTAAACATAAACAATTAAACAAACAACAGACTTTCAAAACATGAACTTTATGATGCATTTTACTAGATTATAAAATCAGTTGTCTAAATATAATAAAAACGGGAATGGAAATCTGAAAAATTACGTTTTATTTGAATAAAAACTTTTCTGACGCATGTTCCATTCTTTGTAATCATCTCAAAAATTTACATTCAGAAGACAGACAGATAGATTTATCCACAAAATTGATATGAGCTGTGTATATGATTTTTTGGAATATACCGCGATACAATGGAACCCGCGATATAATGAGAATCGAGTATACATCTTGTACACATTTTATCCATGGATGTACAAACGATCCATCACAATAACATCTATAAAAATATGAATAAATAACATTTGTAAGCTTACTTTCGTGAGCTGTTCAAATTTTTGCCCAGTACATAACTATTTTTAATTTTATAAATATAGACAAAGGGTATCTACCTGTTTCTCCATACACCATACCATTCGGAGTACTAGATTTAAGATTAAGTCGAATAAATTTCAAAAATTTCAAGTGTACTTTTTCTATTATGTCTAAATTTTCGTATCCCCATACTTCACATGAATAAATTAGTAAAATTGGGTTGATGACTTTATCAAACAAATCTAACTGACAATTAATTGGTAAATTAAAATATCGAATTTTACGTAAGACTCCATACATTGCTTTTGATGCTTGTTGGGTTATTAAATTTAATATCATTATTATTTTTTTTTGGCATTATTAAACTTTCCACTTCTTGACAGGAATAAACCCAGATAACAGAATTCTTTAACATTTTCAATAGCTACACCGTTATATAAAAATTTACGCTTTGTCATTGGACCTTTAGAAAAAATAAGGACTTTTGTTTTGGCTATGTTAACACGGAGTTTCCATACATCACAGTATCCAGCAAAAACATCAAGTGACTTTTGTAAATCAGAAGCAGATTCAGACATTAAGACCGTATCATCGGCATATTGGAAATTGAATCTAAATTAAAGAATTTTGACCTAGAACTTCACTCCAATATTTTCACAGAAATCTGAGAAAACAATTTGGAGTGATTCTTTTTTCAATCAACATGAGATTTTTTATGCTGGCAGTGTTTTCCCTAAGAACCGGCTACCAGCCAAATTGACCGCTTCAATTGACAAAAATGCCGCTTTGAAATGAAAATTTGTTGTTAGGTCTACAGAGATTTTGTTCATAAACCTCAGTCCCTAGCCTTTTAAAACTGATCTCTAACACTTTACTTCGAAATAAAGGGAAAACACTGTGCTGGTAAGTGTTTACCCAAAAAAACTTTACCCGCCCATTTTATTCAAGTTATAATTGCCTAAATAATAAATGTTCTGTTCTGTAGATGGAAAACAAATGATGTAAGCTGAATATTTTTCATCCTTGCCATTTATAATGTTCCGTAGTCTTATTTCACATGCAAGTTATCAATAAACACTGGCCTGAAAGTATCTTATGCACTGTCCTTAAATGTTTGGGAGACTGTTTGAATGAAAACAATTAACTTGATTAAATAAAGGAAACATGGGAAAAGACTTCCAAACAGAGCAGCTGAAACAAGAGAAAGATGGAAAGTTAAAAGTGATCTAAAATCATTGATATTCGAGACCTTACAGTGAGAAAGTATATTTCTCATAACCCCAGCTATATATCATACACAATAGATGCCGTAGAGGAAATTCGAGTAAAAGCCAAAACTATCGCGGGTTGTGAAACATGAAAAAAAATAGTCACTGGGACTTGAAATATCATAAACGGCTTTCTTAAAAAGTTTTAAAATCGTTATCGAAATAATGCGAATCCTTACCCTTTTATGATAATTGTTTATGCTTTTCATTGAACCTAATCACAGGAATCGACATGTCTTCCATCATCCTTGACAGAATGTAAACAATGACCGAAAAGCATAATTTGCGACAATAACACTGATATGCAATTGTGCATATATTTTTTAAACGATAAGAAATTTTTTGGCAAATTCACACGATTAGGACAGATAAGATATGCCTTAACAACGGATTAACCATGTTATCTTATTTACTGTCACCAATCAAAAATTTTACGACAATTAAATGAAAAACATCCAACTGTGCCAGAAACACAAATTAAAAGAATTAAAAAATAGATATATAAAATCTTACCTGCACAGCAACTGCACTTTAGGCTAGTAAATGTTTACATCCAAAGCGTCAAAATAAGGCGACGTTGTCAAGCGCTTTTGGAACGTCATACACGTGTACAAGCAAAACTCGCGTGAATTTGTTCAACCATGTTACATACAAAAAAAAAAAGAAGAGAAAAATACATCTAATGTTTTGAGATTAATATTTACTTTAATATTTTGAAAATGTTTTTCTTTTTAATATGTTGACGGTGCGACCGTTCGAGCGAGCGCAAACTCTTCTATTGTTTTAATTTAGATCGGGCTCGTCAAACCGCACGTGACATTTGGTGCGTCTAGATTCTGACGTCACATGACGTCGTATGTAAGTTACAAATACCAAAAAAAAAAACTGAACAGTGCTGAAAGTGAATGAAAAAAGTTACGTTTACAATTTATCTTCAATATGTATCCATTTAATCAAGGCGAGTAAACTTTTTGTTGAACATTTGCCGTCATTCTCGCGAGAACGCAACTTTGCTAAGTGATGCATTGTGGGTCAAAATTACTGCGGCAAAAAATTCTAAAGAATGAATGTGCAGTAGTCCGAATTTTCTCTTCGCCCAGGCGTTGTCGTTAGAGCTCGCAGTTACGAGCGTCGCGAAGCGACGCTCGCTGCGCTCGCTATAAAGCAATGTAGGTTCCTCGAACGTACGTTATATTTAACGTTTGGCGTCATTTCTCAGTGACGCCATAAATTGTCGACGTGCATTCATTTTCCAACTTCAAAATTCTGTTATTCAGCAGGATATACCCTATGACAAAATCAATAATAATACCTGTAATATATAGAAATTTGAACTTATAACCTCATTCTAAATACAGTAATTTTGTAATTTGGTTAAATGTTTAACCAACTGACTCAGACATGATATACACCCTATAAACTTGTATGTTATTAATTATCATTTAAGCTCTATCATTTAAATTATTTTCAGTCCAAAGTTGACTTAGACCTATAGAAGAGACAGTTCTTTTTTTGCCCCCGTAAACGAAGTTTTTATGCCCCCGTAAACGAAGTTTCGGGGTTATATAGTTTTTGTCGTGTGCGTCCGTCTGTCTGTTTGTTTGTCCGCAAGAACTTTAACATTGCCAATAACTTTTGACTGGATGGGACTATATGGCTTTCAATATTTAACAGGTACATTCCTTGTGAAAAGACCTTTCTTCCTATTAGACCAAACTGACCTCTTGACCCTGGAGTTTGACATACTTTTACACCAAAATTCCAAACTTGAACTTGGCCATAACTTTAGAACGGTAAGGGCTAGGGTTTTAATTCATACTTCACATACTAGTATATAATCTTTAATTGTGACAAGACATTTCATTGGATACCAACAACTTTGACCTTTTGACCTTGTCCATTGACCTACTTTTAAAAGACTTTAATGTTGGCCATTACTTAATTGAACGGTAAGGGCTAGGGCTTTCATTTTTTCACATATGTAATCCCATCAGCAAAGGTGATGTAATCCCTGTGACACGAGCTTTCATACGATACCAACAACTTTGACCTTTTGATCTTTTGACCTTGGAGTTTAACCTACTTTTAAAAAAAGTTAACATTGGCAATATCTTTTAAACAGTTACGACTAGGGCTTTCATACTTCATGTATGTATTTTTTGTGTCAAGACCTTCCATTGGATACCAACAACTTTGACCTTGACCTTGGAGATTGACTTTCTTTAAAAAAAAACTAGATGCTGTCATGAGACAGTAATACCCGCACTAAGATGTTTGCTTCTAAATACACCCTCCTTTATATTGCGCTTTCCAAGGAAAACGTCAAAATAATTCTGTAATTACCACAGTACATGTATTCGTCAAATTGAGCATAAAATTTTCAGGTGGCCATGTGATCTATGAGCCTCTTATATATATTTCGTATACTTAATTCATCACCAGACTGAAATAATAGAATTTAATTAATGATGTAAATTAGATTCTGATAAATATTTTGCCCATAATTGGAACTTTTTAAAATTTACTTTCTCAACAACATAAAATTTTATTTTAGTACAAAGCGTTTTTGATAAATTTATCCAAATGTCCAAACTGTTTTTATTTAGTATTTGGTAAGGCAAACAAAAAAAAAACAAAAAAAAAAACCCATTAAAAATAAAACCCAATCAATTTGTCAACCCCCCCCCCCCCCCCCCCCCCGCACACACACACACACATTTTTTTTCAAAGGCCTAGATGGTAAAGTTATGTTAAAACATCGGTTATTTTCAATGATAGTTTAAAATTTGTTTTTGTACTAGACATGTTTACGCGTGAACTGTTTTTTGAAAATGGTCTGCATCACATTAGGTTTGCGTCACCCATATCATATTTTTAGATATCACCACTCGACACACCTCGGCCGATTCGCACTTCATCTAATGAACATGATGAAGGCGACGGAATCAGCAAAGGTTTGCCATACGTGTCCAAGAACGAATTCGATGTCGATATCGACAATATTATGCCGATATCGTATCGATATCGATCATGATGAACACTATTAATTTGAAATACTTGGTACCATATATGAGACTTTGTGCTATGTCGATGTCGTCGATATCGACAATAACATGACGATATCGTATTGATATCGATCATATTTGTAGAATTTATTTTCACAATGAGGTATAACATAATTTTACAAGGTCAAAAGTGATGTCAAATTCATTCATTATTAGCATGAATATGAATATGAAATTAAATTATGGTAAGGAAAGGGTTAGTGGTTGTTATTGTTTTAGGTTTAAAGTAAGATGTTGGGTGAGGGTGAAAGTTGTTTAATATGTTTAATATGTTTTAACAATCATGATTCGATATAGATACGATATCGTCGATATCGACGATATCGACAGTAGGGTAAACAAATTAATCAGAAAGTAAATATGCACAAGCGTTGAATTAAGAAACAGAACTTATTGTTATGGGATATGTTAAGAATAAAGATTTTGTATTAGGGTAAAGGTTGGTTCAGTAATATGTTTTAACAATCATGATTCGATATCGATACGATATCTATGGCAGGTACAGTCTTCGTAAAAGTAAAGTTATTAAACATAAATACACACACAAAGTAACAGGGACAGTATTTACAAAGAGCTGAGCAAACATGATTCGATATCGAAGCGACATCGTCGATATCGACGATATCGACACTACAGGGAAAATTTTATAAAAGATAGTTTTAAAATAACACATGTTAATACAATACTAGTATTATAGATGGAAACCATAAATCTTTGAACAATCATGATTCGATATCGGCACGATATCGTGGATATTGACAGTAAGGAAGACTTCTTAAAACAGAAAGTATTGTAATAAACACACAAGGATAGAGAAATATTATAGTAAACTATAACAAGAGGCCCATGGGACACATCGCTCACCTGAGCAATGTGGATAGGAAAAAAAGCAGAAACCAGTTTATTATAGAAAAGTTTAAACCCAATAGTGGTCTAAACCAATCCTTAAAAGGGAGAGGGTATGATTTGAACAAACTTGAATCTTCACTAACTAAGGATGCTTGCATATTTCTTTGACTACCTGTGGCTTTATTGCTCTTCACATTTGAACTTACATTGTGGCCCCGCCCTATACCCCCAGAGGTCATGACTTGAAAAAAATTGAATATACAATACCCAAGAATGCTTCCATATGAACAGGACTAATCATGGCTTTGCTATTCTTGAAAAGAAGAATTTTAAAGATTTTTTCTACATGTTTCTATGTAAAACTTGGATTCCATGTTGTGACCCCAGGGGGTCATGATCTAAACAAAAATTGAATGTCCACTACCTGAGGATGCTTCCATAAAAATATGATCATTCATGCCTATACTATTCTTGAGAAGAAGATTTTTAAAGAATTTTCCTATATATTTCAATGTAAAACTTTGATCGGCCATTGAAGCCTCGCCCTACCCCCAGGGGTCATGATTTGAACAAACCTGAATTTACACTACTTAAGGATGCTTATTAGTTTCATCTTTCCTGGCACAATGGTTCTTGAGAAGAAGATTTTTAAAGAATCTTCCTATATATTTCTATGTAAAACTTTGATCGGCCATTGTGGCCCCGCCCTACCCCCGGGGGTCATGATTTGTACAAATATTAATCTACACTACCTGAGGATGTTTCCCTATAAGTTTTATCTTTTCCGGCACTGTGGTTCTTGAGAAGAAGATTTTTAAAGAATTTTCCTATATATTTCTATGTAAAACTTTGATCAGCCATTGTGGCCCCGCCCTACCCCCGGGAGTCATGATTTGAACAAACTTGAATCTACACTACCTGAGGATGCTTCCCTATAAGTTTCATCTTTCCTGGCACAGTGGTTCTTGAGAAGAAGATTTTTAAAGAATTTTCCTATATATTTCTATGTAAAACTTTGATCGGCCTTTGTGGCCCCGCTCTATCCCCGGGGGTCATGATTTGAACAAACTTGAATCTACACTACCTGAGGATGATTCCCTATAAGTTTCATCTTTTCTGGCACAGTGGTTCTTGAGAAGAAGATTTTTAAAGAATTTTCCTACATATTTCTATGTAAAAATTTCGATCGGTCATTGTGGCCCCGCCCTACCCCCGGAGGTCATGATTTGAAGAAACTTGAATCTACACTACCTGAGAATGCTTCCCTATAAGTTTCATCTTTCCTAGTACAGTGGTTTTTGAGAAGAAGAATTTTAAAACATACCATCAAATTTTCATTATTTCTTAATTATCTCCCCTTAAATAAGGGCGTGGCCCTTCATT